GAAACGGCGCCCCCGGGGCCCGCAAGGGGGGTGGTGGGGGGGGGGGGGGCGACACGACACGAGACCCCCCGCCCCGGGCACCCGCGAGCCCCTCACCGCCCTCCTCTCGCTGTGCAGCCAGCCTGTCCACCCTGGAGGTCCTGTTCCTCCTGGTCAGCCTGATCCTCCTGGCCATCACCGTCACCTCCTTCTTCATCTACAGGTAGGGGTGCTGGGGTCGGGGAGGGTGACCCCGAGGCTGCGCCGCTGTCCCCGGAGGTGGCGAGGCCGGGGGGTGACGGACATGCGGGGGTCTCGCCCTGCCCTCCCGGCGCAGCAGGAAGCTGCAGCTGGAGAAGGAGCTGGCGGCCGAGCTGTGGCGTATCCGCTGGGAGGACGTGCAGATGAGCAGCCTGGAGAAACACCTCCGGAGCGCCGGCAGCAAGCTCACCCTCTCCCTGGTGAGCACCCATCCCGTCCCCAGCCCTGCCCCAGGGATGGGGACCGGGGACCGGGCTCACCCCCCGTCCCTTCCCGCAGAGGGGCTCCAACTACGGCTCGTTGATGACGGCAGAGGGGCAGTTCCAGGTCTACGCCAAGACGGCATATTACAAGGTATGGGGGTGCGGGAGTGGGGAGGGGCACCCACCACCCCGCTGGGCACCCATCGCCCCGCTGGGCACCCATCACCCCGTGTCTCCCCAGGGCAACCTCGTGGCCGTGAAGCACCTCAACCGCAAGCGCATCGAGCTGACGCGCAAGGTCTTGTTCGAGCTGAAGCACGTAGGTGGACCCCGGCTCGGTGCCGCGCGGTGGGATGGGGGTGCCCGGCCCGGCGTCCCCTGGGTGGGGTGGGACGTGCCATGAGCCTGGTCCCACACCCTGCTCCACCTTAGATGCGGGATGTCCAAAACGAGCATCTGACCCGCTTCATCGGCGCCTGCACCGACCCCCCGAACATCTGCATCCTGACCGAGTACTGCCCGCGCGGGAGCCTCCAGGTACCGGCGGGGTCCCGGCTCCCCGGCAGCCATCCGGGGCTGGAGCCTCTCCCTCCAGTGCCCATCACCCAGTATCAGGGCTGCACGGTGCCCATCACCCAGCGTCAGAGCTGGACGGTGCCCATCACCCAGCGTCGGGGCTGCCCAGAGCTGCTCTGCCCGGTGCCCAGGGTGGGAGGGAGCCAACCCCAGCGGGCAGATGGATGCTGGTCCCCCCATCCCGGGACTGTCCATGGTGGGGGGACGGCAACGTGACCGTCGTGTCCCCAGGACATCTTGGAGAACGAGAGCATCACGCTGGACTGGATGTTCCGCTATTCCCTCACCCATGACATCGTCAAGGTAACGAGCCGGTTCCCGCTGGGCACCCAATTCCCATGGAGGGTCCCCCGTTCCCATGGAGGTGGGGGACAACCAGGTCCAACCACTCTCCGCCCTGCCAGGGGATGCAGTTCCTGCACAACGGGGTGATCGTCTCCCACGGGAACCTCAAGTCCTCCAACTGCGTGGTGGACAGCCGCTTCGTGCTGAAGATCACAGACTACGGGCTGGAGAGCTTCCGCGTGGCCCCCGACGGCGAGGACTCCCACGCGCTCTTCGCCAGTGAGCACCCTGCCCATCCACTAACCCCCCCCCCCCCCCCGGGGGCCCCC